AACTCTATGGAGCAGTTTTACTCTGTAACACATGTGGTCACCATGAGTCAGAATCAACTCAGTGGTAATGGGTTTGATTTTTTTTAGGGTTTATTCCAAAAAGGCAAGAGTGGTTCAGTCTCAGGAAATGTGTTCCTATTTTTCCCTGTTAGGAAAGGAATTCATACCCATTGCTGTCAAGTCAGTTCTGACTCATAGGACCGCATAGGGTTTCCAAGGCTGTAAATCTCTACGGAAGCAGACTGCCACATCTTTCTCCAGCAGAGCCTTTTGGTTAGCAGTGGATTGCTTTAACCACTGCGCCACCAGGGATCCTTTCATGATTCCCTGTGTTTAGGAAAGGAATTCATAAAACCACATAATCCCATCAATAGATACCCAAATGTTCCTTAATAAAATGTACTGCCTAGTCCATATTTTCAAAAACCAAGGTAACTTTTAGCAAATTAGAAATAGAAGGAAATTTCTTTATTTGGTAAAAATGGCATCCACTAAACACCTGCAGTAAACCATATTTAATGGTGAAACATTAGACACAGCATCATTAAAGATGGGAATAAAGCAAGGGTGCCTGCTATGATTGCTGCTATTCAGTATTTTAACTGGTGGTCCTAGCCAATTAACAAGAATGTGTATTGCAAAGGATGAGACAAAGCTGTCATTATTTGCAAATGATTTGACTGTCTCCCTAGAAATCCAGGAGAAAAATGAAAACAAACCAAAAAACCATGAAAACTCATGACTATGATAAACTAACAAATATAAAATCAACTTGCAAACACCAAAAGTTTTCCTGTGCACCAGCAACACTTGGAGAATAGAATGGAGAAACAAGCCCCTTTTACCTCTTACAGTTGCCGCAAATATTATGAAATGCCTAGAATGAACCTATCAAGAACCATGTTCAGCCTACCAGAAGGAAACCATGCATTTGGCTAAAGGACAGAAAAGAAGTCCTGGATGAGTGGAGAAACGTGCTATCTCTGTAGCGTAGAGGCAATGGCTCCAGATAATGTTTCCTTTCAAAGAGCTCCATTTTTTCATCGTTTAAAATTTTTTTTAATTATGGTGATACATATACATTTATATATATATCTGTTGCCGTGGAATCGATTCCGACTCACAGCAACTATTGGACAGAGTAGAACTGCCCCACAGTGTTTTCAAGGAGTGGCTGGTGGATTCTCACTGCTGACCTTTTGGTTAGCAGCCAAGCTCTTAACCATTGCACCACCAGGACTCTGTCTCTCTCTCTATATATATAAACAGAACATTGCCATTTCAACCATGTTTACACATACAGTTCACTGAGATTAATTACATTCCCCGTGTTGTGCAACCATCACCACTGTTTCCAAATTTTTCATCACCCTTAACAGAAACTCAGTGCCCATTAAGCAATACCCCCTCCCCACTTCCCCCTACAAAGGGCGACATTTAATATGGAAAAGTCTCAGGCTTTTTGTTCTTCATGGCTTGCTTTGGGAGTAGATAAAGCTAGCCAACATTTTTCCTCATTTTACAAGCGAGAAAACAGGCTTCAAGTGATTTTGCAACACAGCAAGTCAGTTTTTCGAGACAAAAGCCTACACTGTAATGTCTAACGCTTCACTTAGTGGCTTTTTTATAGTAGTCCATTTCCAAATTCTCTTCATGCCAGGGTATGTGTATGTGTTTAAAGGTTAAACTGTGACTAGAGTATTAAATGGAGATCATTCTTCTTTTTTTGCTTGTTTCTGGATATTTTATTTTATAATCATAAAAACTCCCACAGATCATTTTTTATTTTAAATTATTTTGATGAAAAAGGAAAATATATTTCCACTATTTTAATGGCTAGTCATTGTATTCCTCAGTGAGTGATCAGGATAGTACTAGAATTAATTTTGTGGTTGTGCTCACTCTTGTCATTAAACTCCAGTATACGGTCTCAGTACTTTCAAGTTCTATTACAGTGCTGGGTAACAGAAAAAACATGGTAATTTCATCACCATTTAATTTTTAAAGAAATGTACTGTATTAATTTCCTAGGACTATGTAACAAATTACCCCAAAACTGGTGGCTTAAAACAGTGAAAATTTATTCTCTCAAAATTCTGGAGGCTGGAAATCCGAAATCAGTTCACTGGGCTGAAATCAAGGTGTCAGCAGGGCAGGGCTCCCTCCAGAGGCTCTGGGGGATAATACATTCCTTGCCTCTTGCAGCTCTGGGGGATAATACATTCCTTGCCTCTTGCAGCTTCTAGTAGCTGTTGGCATTCCTTGGCTTGTGGTCCCATCACTGCAGTCTCTGCAGTCTTCGGTCATTGCCTTTTCCGCCTGTCTGTGGATACATGCGGTTGCATTTAAGGCCCACCTGCAAAATCCAGGATGATCTCCCCATCTCAGAATACTTAATTTAATCACATCTACAAAGAATCTTTTTCCAAATAAGGTAATATTTACAGATTCTAGGGATTAAGACCTGATATCTTTGGCGGTCTTTATTCGGCCTTCGATATACATGCACCCTTCCCTGGTGATAACACCCTTTGGAGGCAATCAGCAGAGTTTGAATCCTAGTCAATTGTTAGCATGTTGACCTTGAGCAAGTTGTTTAACCTCTTTGACCTTCAGCTTCTACATCTGAAAATGAAACTAATGCATGCCTTTCTTAGAGTATTTGAAGCAGTTTAAAAAAAAAAAAGAAGAAACAGTATTGATCCAAATATTGCTTCTTGGTTTCTTTTTTTTTAACTTGGATTCAAAGCTTTGTTTTGACTAGCACCATCCCTGGCAGGTAGTGGTTGCCCAGTAAATGTTTACTGAAGGGCAGTGTGGTATTGATCTGTCCTGCACTGAACTTGCAGCTGGGGACAGCTCACTGGGCATGACCCATTCAGAATATGGTAACTGAGGGCCATTAACTTAGCAAACGGGCAGATGTGTGCACAGCAGAACCCCTAAGGTTGAGGTTTCTGTGTAAATGTGCTAAGTCAAGTTTGTTTATGATGCAGGAAGAAGACTGTTGATACAGAGAGGGAAAAGTCAGAGATGGGTTGGAATGAGTGTCCAGATCTGTACACACACTCTTCATAAAATATTGATTGAGTGATAATATCCCCTTTGGTATTTTGGCTGTGTACTTACAACCAGTGTAAATGGCTTCAGAGTTGTGGGCGTGTTTCCCATTCCTGTGCAGTTCCTCCAGCTCAGTTTTAAGCTGCTTGAGAACAGGAATTAGTGATATGGTGAGATGTAGCTCCTGTGGCTGCCTGATCAGCTTTCATGGGTGGTGATAAAGTATCCAGTGCTACAGCTGGAACCTCCCTGACAACAGAGAGTGGAGTGTCGCTTTGGGGCATGGACAGGTATTGATCTAGCCTTGGCTTTGGTTAATGAGTCATTTGGCTTACAAAGCCCCTGAGTCACAGACTGTTCTGAGATGACCTTGCTGACTCAGGAGTACATTTGTGTTCCAGAGCTTCCTGCAGAGAGCGGGTGAGGCTAAAGAAGCTGAGGAAGGGGTGGAGCTGGTTCCTCAGAGCTGTCTGTAGCTTCTCTTCTGTGACCCTTTGTGTGGCGCCTGGCTGACTGTGGAAGGAAGAGGCAGTCAGGAGCACTGGGGAGGGAGTGACTGAGGAGCAGCAGAGGGAAACACGGGGAAGCACAGAGAGGAAGGATGGAAGGAAAAGCCTAAGCCTGAGTGTATGGGCAGGGAGAGCTGCTCAGGCCCCAGCTGGGCAGCAAGAAAGGAACGCTCCTAGACAGGCATCATGGTGAGGAGCCTCTCTAGTCTCTGGGGCATTTAGGATTTATATTTATTATTCATACATGATATTTAATATCTACCAATGCCTTGTTGTTGTTCTAGTTGTTAGTTGCTGTGGAGTCAACACCGACTCATGGTGACCCCATGTACAACAGAACAAAATGGTGTCCGGTCCTCATTATCTTCTCCATGTTGGTCTGTTCGAGTCTGTTGTTACTGCCACTGTGTATTTTGAATGCCTTCCAACCTAGTGAACTCGTCTTCCAGCACTATATCAGACAATATTCTGTTGTGATTCATAGGGTTTTCATTGGCTGATTTTGTGAAGTAGATCACCAGGCCTTTCTTCCTAGTCTTAGTCTGGAACCTCTGCTGAAACCTGTCTACCATGGGTGACCCTGCTGGGGTTTGAAATACTGGTGGCATAGCTTCTGGCATCACAGCAACATGCAAGCCCTCACAGTATGACAAACTGACAGATGGGTGGTGGATCAGTGCCTTAGCTAGGATTTAATCTAACCCTTTTTATCCTGGGGATACTTTTTAGGTTCTCTTCCCAAGTACTTGTGTTACCAGGTTGGCAGACTTTGAAAGAGATTTTTAGTGGAAGAAAAAACTAAATGTATTTAATCAGGAATAAGTAGAACAGACATTTGAGAGTCTGTTGGGTTCTTGACAGCATTAGATAAAAGCAAAAGTCGAAAATGTAATCTGGATCCTCAGAGAATTTCAGAATTGTTGACAGAGGAGATTTGATGATCAGAAGCAATTGGAGAACAGTATTCTGAGTTAAAAAACCAAACTATAAATTGCATGGTGTAGAGAGTGAGTGGGTCACATCAGAGAGACCAGCGAGGACTGGGCTAACTGGGAATGCCTTCCTTCATTCACTCAGAACTGATTGAGAATCTTTCTGTGCCAGGTATTTTGCCAGGGTAGGTATACAAAGAAGGAGGAAATGTAGTCCCTGCCCTTTTAGAACTTGTCTGCTAACAGGGAGCTAGATTAGCAAGCAATTATAGTATAACAAGTTCTATTGTGGAAATATAAAGAGTGTGGTAGGAGAAGGTGGCTCTGAGTTCTTGCCTCAGCTGGAACCTGCTGTCCTAGCAGAAGGGAGGCTATGGTATTGTAAGGAGTCATGCTTTTCTGTTTCAGATAACAAGGAAAAAGACAGTGTTGAATTATCATGATTGTAAGGTTAATGACAGATCCTAGCCAGTAACTCTGCTTTCATTTTTTTCCTTAGTGTCAAATCAACAGTGCCTTGACTTCTTTCCACTCTGCTTTGGAACTTGCAGTAGATCAGAGAGAAATTCAACATGTGTGTCTGTATGAAATTGGTAAATATGAAATGTCTGTCCAGCTTCTTGTTCTGAAATAGTATCAATGCTTGCTTGTGCAATTTTTCATTATTAATGCTATTCAATTTATGTCTTTGTAAAACACTTGCTGCCTTATACAAGAATGACTATTATCATAGCATATGTAATGATACTTATCATTCTGATTCTAATTACTACTTTAAAATATTATGTTCTTTATAACAGTTTGATTTTAGGATAATAGGTAATGTTAAATGAGTTGACTAATAACCATTTATAAATACCTTATTGGACTGCACGTTCAAATTCAAAACTATTTGTTTACCAGTGTTTACCTAAGAATAAAAATATGATATAGGAGAGTTAGGCGGGTGCCTTCCAATGCAAGCTCTTCCATCAGTAGGTCTGAAACCTTGGACAAGCTTCTTAAGCCCTCTGAGCCACATTGTTGCCACTGGAGTTAAGTTGCCTCCCCCTGTGGCAATTGGGAGGTTTAGATGAAATAACATTGTACAGAGCATCTGGTGAGGGCCTGGAAAACAGAAGGCACTCCAGAAATGTTCGCTGCTTCCTTCTGCTTCTCTCCCACTAGAGATAAATTTATAAGCAGACTTTGAAGTACTTATTTATCTGAGATTTTCCCCCTCCTTCTCCAAAGTTGTCGCTGTGAGTCTTTTGCTGACTTCTCTACAATTCTCCAATCTCATTGCGTTAGTAATTCCATAATCCTTTTAGGTAACATGGAGCCCTGGTGACGCAGTGGTTAAAGAGTTCAGCCTCTAACCAAAAGGTCGGCAGTTTGAATCCACCAGCGGCTCCTTGGAAACCCTATGGGGTAGTTCTACTCTGTCGTGCAGGGTCGCTTTGAGTCGGAATCGACTCAACGGCAATGGATTGGTTTGTTTGTTTTTTTAGGTAACAGTTGCTTCATTATGCTGAGAACTTTGGACTTGAAACAAAAAAAAAAATTTTTTTAAATAAGGAGTTCATATGTTTTAAGCTTAATACTATGAGGTCACATCATGTAGCACGTAGAAAGGAAATGGACAAGGAGTAGAGTGAGGAGAAATGATGATAGTGATGGGAACCCAAAGGGAAATTGGAATCCAAAAAGCTCTCTGCAGAGGGACAGCAGGGAAGAAATGGAGAGAGTGTAGGGAGGTGACTGGCATCTGTTAGGTCAGAACCCTAAGATGTCTGCCACTTGCTTCACCTGCCGTGGGCATAATTGTGTTCTTGAATTATGTTTTAAACCTCCATGATGACTTAGGGAGAAGAGTTGAAGTATCATCCAAGGGAATATGTATTTGTTTGTAATTTAAACTCTGCTGGTGTTCTGTTTAGTGGCTATAATGTAGAATGAAATGTGTTTCAGAGGACTTGAATAAAAAACCTAGCTTTGGTAGCCTTTTTTTTTTGGTACACCATTTCAAAGTCTATGACAGTATAGAATGTTAGAGCTGAAAGAAGCTTAGAAATCATCTAACCCAACACCCAGGCATTAGGAAGGTTAAATCAGACAAGAAATAGTAAAATCAGAATTCGGATTTCCTATTAAAATTCCATGCTGCCTTCCACCTCTATTTTGCATCTAATTCAAATCTCATATCTATTAGAGGATATCTATATCCTGATGTCTACTGTAGAATGAAAATAATTAGCCCAAATTTTTACCCCCAAAATGCCACTTTCATATCATATCCCATAGAATTAGACACTGAATTTTCTGGAAATGTGAATTTTCCCCCCATAGTTTAAATGGCACCTCCAAGATCATACAAGTATTTATTGACACATCTGATATGAGAATTTTCTTTTTATGGAGGCAGTAGTGTATAAAGGACAGAACTTCGGCTTTCTGTCTGCAGTTCTTCCCTCTTAGCTGTGTGGTCTTGAGCAAGTCACAAAACCCCTTGATGCTTTAGGTGTTCTTATTGGTGAGATAAGGATCCCATCACCCACCTTTGCAAGGTGGTAGTAAGGGTTACCCATTGTGGTTGAGTCAATTCTGACTCATAACGACCCCTTAGGACAGAGTGGAACTGCCCCACAGGGTTTCCTAGACTGTAATCTTTATGGAAGCAGACTACCACATCTTTCTCCCATGGAAAGTTGGTGGGATCAAACTGCCAACCTTTCGGTTAGCAGCTGAGTGCTTAACCACTGCACCACCAGGGCTCCTGTAGTAAAGGTTAAAAAAGAAAAAAAAAACTCGTTGCTGTCAAGTCGATTCCGACTCACAGTGACCCTATAGGACACAGTGGAGTGCCCCGTAGGGTTTCCAAGGTGCAGCTGGTGGATTCAAACTTCTGACCTTTTGGTTAGCAGCTGTAGCTCTCAACCACTGCGCCACCAGGGTTCCAAGTAAGGGTTAGAGAGGAGTATATAAAGTGCTAGCACAGTGCTTAGCACACAGTTGGGGCTCAATGGATGGTAGCTACCGCTGTTAACAGGAGCCCTGTGGGTCAGTGATTAATCGCTCGGCTGCTAACTTAAAGGTCAGCGGTTCGAACCCACCAGCTGCTTCATGGTAGAAGAATGTGGCAGTCTGCTTCTGTAAAGATTACAGCCTTGGAAACCCTATGAGGCAGTTCTACCCTGTCCTATAGGGTCTCTATGAGTCAGAATCAACTCAATGGCAATGAGTGTACTGCTGTTAACAAGAGGATTAAAATTCCTGTCACGTCAGTTACTGCTATTCTTTACAGCAGTAAAAAACCATGTTTGGGTCCAGGGAACATGGGATTCTTTCTCAGCTCCCCTGCCAGTTTGCAGAGGCCAGGGTGGGCAAGTATTAATTTCTGACTGGCTTGCTCTCTACCTCTCATATAAAGATTTGTGAATTAATAAGAATAATGAATAAGACATTTTTAGTTAGTCACTATGTACATAACCTCATGGCGTTGCTTCCACTTCTTTTTCTGAGCCCGTACCTTCTCTTGGAGAAATACTACACGTACTTAGGCTAATCTCTCAATTGTGTGAGGCAAGGTGGAGTATTTTCCTAGAAATCTTTAAACCACTCTCTACTATACTGCTTAGTCAGTTGTGAAATAAGAAATGCTTGTCTTATTCACAACTTCACAATGAAAGTATGAAGTTTTGAGTAAGACAAACACTCCAGTTCCTTAAGGTGAAAAAATAATTTTTTAAGTGTTCAGGTCGTTTACATAGAACACTCAAAGAGAAAGATAGCAGTATCAGAGATTGGTAGCTTCAACGGGATCAAAAGCTGACGACTTTATGGTAATACGCTAAAGTCTGCCTTCCTTAGGTTGGTGCAGCATGATCGAGCTGAACTTCAAGGATGCGTTTGATTCCTTTGAGAGGCTAAAAAACGAGTCCAGATGGTCGCAGTGCTATTACGCCTATTTAACTGCAGGTAAGTCGACCGTGGTCTGCACTGCCGCATTTCTGTATTATGAGCTAGGTCGCTTGCCCTTGGTAGAGAGGAGAGGGGTGACACAGTTTTCCCCAGCCCATGAATGTTTTGTTCTGCCAGCTACATAGCAGCTGCATACAGCGTTCACTCACCCAGCTGAACTCCGAGAAACTCAGTTCTGTACACCATGCCCCATTGCCCACCTTCCCCTCCTGGGCCTGCTTTGGTTATATGCTACTGAGAAAGAAATGCTTGTTGTGAGGTTCTCCCGTTTTTGTCCTAAACAGCCTCAACCTACCCTTACCTACTTCCTTTACTTCCTGTGATTTTTTTTTTTAATTAGGAATTTAAAGAAATTTTAAGAATTTAGTGTATCTTTTAAATTGTGTTAATATTTTTATTTGGATTGTTAGTGCCCTGGTTACAAAGATGCACATAGGTTTCGAGTAGTCTGCCCCCACCTTGTTTTACGTAGTAAGCAGTTGCCTTTGAGTCCATTCTGACTCATGGAACCCCAATTGTGTCAGAGTACAACTGTACTCTATAGGGTTTCAGTGGCTGATTTTTTGGAAGTAGATCGCCAGGCCTTTCTTCTGAGGCATTGTTATATTTACAGTGTGATTTTGCAGAACATGAGGTATTTCAGTACTCATACATCACTGTAGCAGTAGTTTGTAAAATTAGTTGCTTTTTACTCTTGTATGAGGAGATCCAGGATCCCTGGTGGTATAGTGGTTAAAGCACTCGGCTGCTAACCAGTAGGTGAGTAGTTTGAACCCATCAGCCACTTCGTGGGAGAAAGATGTGGCAGTTTGCTTCTGTGAAGATTACAGCCTTGGAAACTCTTGGGGCAATTCTACTCTGTCCTGTAGGGTTGCTGTGATCTACGGCAAGGGATTTTTGTTTTGTTTTTATGAGGAGATAGTTAAAGACGTGCTGCCACCTGGTGGACAAGAGGGTTGTCTGCGCCCTGAGGTATGTACTGTGCTAGGGTGGTTTAGAATTGTAGAGATGTGCAACTGAAGAAACCCAAGTGGTTATACATTTTCTCCCTTTTAAGCAAGTTGTACATAAACCTTTTCAGATGTGTGAAGTAATGTATCTACTAACAACGAACTTTCCTTATGCAACCATTTAAACAATTCTTTTCCTTGTAATTCAAGGCTAATCCAAACATTACTTTAAATACCTCCTTATCTCTTTTGTTACCATTGGCATAAATGGTATACCAGCCACTTTTTATGCCTCTGGACCTCAGAGGTAAGGTGTTATTCCAGTTCTAATGCGTTTAGCATCAAGGTGGGTCCCTTTTGAAATGTATTAAGCTTAGCAGACCAGAGTTGGAGCCTCATTGTTGTGTAGGTTGAACATTCTATTAGGCGGTGCTTCCTGGATGTGTTAGTTTTGTAAACTTTTGCCTTTTTTTCCCCTTTATTTCTCTGAGATAAGGCTTGCAAGCTGTCTCAGTCATCTGGTGCTGCTCCAACAGAAATACCACAAGTGGATGGCTTTATAAAGAGAAATTTATTCTCTCACAGTCCAGTAAGCTGCAAGTCCAAATTCAGGGCATCAGCTCCAGGGGAACGCTTTCTCCATCGGCTCTGGAGGAAAGTCCATGTCATCAGTCTTCCTTTGGTCTGGGAGCTTCTCTATGCAGGAACCTCAGGTCCAAAGGACGCGCTCTGCTCCCAGCACTGCTTTCTTGGTGGTATGAGGTTCCCATGTGTCTCTGCTCACTTCTCTCTTTTATG